AAACATGGCAAAGAATGATGAACAATTTAATATTCATGAATTTGAAATTTTTTGAAATTATTCAAAATGTTAAGTTGTTTGAATTTTTAAGGCCATCTTATGCTATGGTTCTTGGTGTTAAAAATCATTTTTGGATTTGTGGTTCACATAAAAATTTAATTTTGATGAGATGGCTAATAAAACAATCATCTTTAAGCATTGTTTTGATGAGTTTGGATTAGTCATGTGCTTTGTTCGGCTCTTCAAAAATTCTAGTAAATATCATTTTTAAGGGCCGTGGAGGGTAATGCTGGAACCATAAATCTACAATATTATTATTATTTATTATTTATTATTTATTTAATTGCAAGACATGTGGCACCCTCCTACTCATTTGGAGGTTATGAGAAGTTATGAAATGTGAAAAGATGATGGAGAACAAAGTGGACAACATAGAACATAAGTGGAGGTTGAAGGAAGTTATGGAAAATCATGGAATATGAAATGGAAGAGGTGGAAGAGTGGGTAGTTTTAGGTAGTTTTTCCTACAAATATTCACCTATAAATAGTTATTCATGGATACATTGTAAAAGATCCAGAATTCAAATCAAAGACAATTAATTTATATTTTTCTTGTCATTTTCCTTATCTTAGGAGTAATTTAACATAGATTTATATTTCATGCACTTTACTTTATGCACTTCATTTTCAAAGCATAGGAATAGAGATAAATTAATAGTTAGTTTGATTGTTTACTTAATCATCTTTCTCCGTCTCCGTCTCCCTCTTTCTTCTTTTAATTTTTCTTTTCTTTACACTTTACAGTTTTGAAATCCTCTGCATTGAGGCAAAAGAATCGTCAATGCAATTGCTTGATAATTGGCTTGAAATTAATATGTAAGGATTTTTCAATCCTTACTGGCACACTCACATTTATGATATTTTCTTTTGTAGGAAAAATAAGCCAACAATTTTTGGTACGCCCGGTGAGATGTCAAGTGTAAGAAATGAAAGATGAATTGGATTCGTCTATTCCAAATAGTCTAGATAAAATCTTTTGGCTAATAAAACAATCATCTTTAAGCATTGTTTTGATGAGTTTGGATTAGTCACATGCTTGATTCAACCATTCAAAAATTTAAGTAAATATCATTTTTAGGGGCCGCGGGGGGTAATGTTGGCACCATAAATTTGTAATTTTATTATTTATTATTTATATAATTGCAAGACATGTGGCACTCCCCTACTCATTTGGAGGTTATGAGAAGTTATGAAATGTGAAAAGATGATGGAGAACAAAATGGAGAACATGGAGCATGAAGTGAAGGTTGAAGGAAGTTATGGAAGATCATGGAGTATGAAATGGAAGAGGTGGAAGAGTGGGTAGTTTTAGGTAGTTTTTTTCTACAAATATTTGCCTATAAATAGCTATTTATGGCTACATTGTAAAGGACCAACTCAAATCAAAGACAATTGATTTCTATTTTTCTTGTCATTCTCCTTATCTTAGGAGTAGTTTAACATTGATTTATATTTTATGCACTTCCTTTTCAAAGCATAGGAGTAGAAGTAATTAATGGTTACTTTGATTGTTCATTCAATCATTTGTCTCCGTCTCCCTCATTCTTCTTTTAATTTTTCTTTTCCATACACCTAGCAATGTTGAAGTCCTCTTCGTTGAGGCAAAAGAACCGTCAACGCAATTGCTTGATAATTGGTTTGAATTTAATCTGTAAGGATTTTTTAATCCTTTCTAGCACACTCACATTTATGATATTTTCTTTCGTACGAAAAATAAGCCAACAAGATTCAATGGAGGAAATTTCACTGACTTTTGTCTTCACTTTTGCATGGGTGTGGAACTGCAAATGTGGAAGTAGGGTCTTAGAAAGTGTATGGAAAGAAGGGTAAAGTAGTGTGTGTACAATGGTTATGAGTGAAGGGTGTAATTGTAACTTTAAGTGTGTAGAGTGATAAAATTAGTTAATAATCAAATTAATAGGTCTGTGTATTGAGAAAAGATGTACACTGAGCTAATAAGTGTGTGTGGAAATAGAATTTCTCGCTATTAGCACCTGCCAAAATTCTTTGGACCCTCCATTTTTGTCGACCTCCACCCTAAATCTTAAATTTTAATAATATTTTTTTTGACACCCCCACTTATTACCAAATCTACCCATATTCATAATATTTTCGCAATCAAATGCACACTCACCCAATTTTTCACATCCTCTCCTTCCCTGTTACTTGATCGTCCGTCTCCTTGGTTTCGTCTCCTTTGCACTGACCCAATCTACCCATTTTTTACGGAGTGCTGCTGTTTCATTGTTTTTTTCCCCCTTTACAAAGTGATGTTGTTTCGTCTCCTCTATTTCTTATAGTCTCTTGTTGGTGGTGGACACAACGTAGTTGGTGGTGGAGCCACACACAACAAAGCTGTAGACTTTTGCTCAGTTCAACAGTACCGAAAATAAAGATTATATTTGATTCAACAGTACTGACTATCTGCATTAATAGTCGGAACCTATGTATTGAACGAAAAGATCATGTTCAATACTATATTACCGAATATAATCCTAACAGTCGGCAAACTAATACCGAACAGCTTGAACAAAAGAAGAACGGCTGAAAACGATTGAGAATGTTAATGCAAGACAGATAAACTTACCAATGGAACCGGTCTTATTACAATTGTTATCCTCGTCCTCCATTGCTCTACACGGTGAAATAATGATGAAGTATACGTTATACTTGAAGCAAAACTTTCTGGTTCAATAGGGTTGATGATGGTAATCAAGATGACACATTCAGGGTTTAAGATGATTATGAAAAATAATAGATTTAGGGTTTATGTTGGTTAGTTATGAAAAGTAATCACTGTGTTTGGTTTGAGTTTTCTGGATTAAGTTTTTTGAAAACTGAGTTTTTTAATTTTCGTGTTTTTTTGTTTTTAGTGAATATTTTTAAATTTCTAAACATTTTTTTTTACTTTTTTAGATGCACCTTACTTAGATGTGTCTAAAAAGTAAAAAAATTGTGAAAAAATATTTTAAAAAATTAAGAAATACAAAAAATGTACTAAATTCTTGTATTTTTTTTGTATTTTTGGTATTTAGTGAATTTTTAAAAGATTTTTTTTTACAATTTTTTTACTTTTTAGGTGTATTTATGTTAAGTGTGTCTAAAAAGTAAAAAATTTGCATAAAATATTAAAAAAATTCAGGAAAAACAAAAAAACATGAAAAATAAGAGTGTACAATTTTCTAAAAACTGTTTTTAAAAAATGGGAACCAAGCAAAGTGTTAGGTTTAGGGTTTACAAACATGACGTACAGTTGAAGTTGGAGGTAGGGTTGGGGATAGGAGTGGTTGTTCAATATTATAGAGTAGAGCATCTCCAACGGTAGTAGGCATTTTACCTATCTGAATATTACTATAAAGTATATATTTTATTTTGCCTATCAACTGTTTTATGTAAAGATTTTTTTTTACAATTTTTTTACTTTTTAGGTGTATTTATGTTAAGTGTGTCTAAAAAGTAAAAAATTTGCATAAAATATTAAAAAAATTCAGTAAAAACAAAAAAACATGAAAAATAAGAGTGTACAATTTTCTAAAAACTGTTTTTAAAAAATGAGAACCAAGCAAAGTGTTAGGTTTAGGGTTTACAAACATGACGTACAGTTGAAGTTGGAGGTAGGGTTGGGGATAGGAGTGGTTGTTCAATATTATAGAGTAGAGCATCTCCAACGGTAGTAGGCATTTTACCTATCTGAATATTACTATAAAGTATATATTTTATTTTGCCTATCAACTGTTTTATGTTTTTACTCCAACCATGCTCTTTATTTTAGCTATTTATTCAAATACTATTAATTTTATAGAATGTCACGTCAACAACAAAGATGGAGGGAAATAATCCTAATGAATGAATACATTTTGCCTAGCGTTGAAGGCTAGCTACATGTAGCTAGTGAATATGAGTTGAGGCAAAATGCCTAATCATATGCCTAGTGCATTGGAATTGAAAAAAGTGAATCACACTAGTCATTTTAACTAACAAGTATTATATGCCTAGTGCATTGGAGATGCTCTTAGTTCTTATTTGATAGGTGAGTATTCCATTTAATAATGTCTTTTAATGTAATTTTACTTTAAGGTATAATCGTAATAAAAAAAATTATAAATTGGGAGTTTCAAAAAATGTTGACAAGTGCTAATAACAGTACCTTTTGAAAATTTTGAAATGTAATGAATTAAAATGGTTGTGTAAATAAAATTTCTCTTTAAAATTTGAATAGTTAAAGACTTTAACCAGCAACCAAACTTTTAAACTCATAAATATCTAAAGAGATCTCTACCTAATTTTTCTTTTTTACCAACTTGAAAAATAAGTTGAAACCAAACTTTCAAATTATTTTATTTAAGGAAACATTACAAACTTTTCGAGTCAAAGATAAGAGAATTAAGATTTCTTGCAATAATCTAGCTCTAATGCTGTAATATTTCAAGAGTTTATGTTTAAAATTAAAGTAAAATTATTGAAAAAGTTAAAAAAAATAAATAAATAAAAATATTTGACTCTCATAACAAAATAAATTATGAGTTTTTTATTTTATTTTATCAATTTAAATCCTTTTTTTTTTCAATCTAAATCACCTATCTATTTTTGTTAAATAAAATCGATAAAAAATAATATTTTAATCATTAAACTCAACAAAAAATAAAATTTTAGACATTTTATGTACAACTATATTGATTTTTATTTTTTGTTGAGTTTAATAATTAAAATATTATTTTTTTCGTCAATTTTACTTAACAGAAATAGGCTAATAGCTTATATTGAAAACAAATAAAACTATTAAGGTTTAACCGGCAAAAGTAAAAACTAAAAGGTTTATATTGTTACAAAAGTCAAATTTTGATTTTTTTTTCTTCTTTTCCTATAATTTCTCCAAAATTATTTTATTTATCAAAGCATTACATCATTTCATGTAAAACAATCTATAAATAAACATCTAATAAAAGGAAGCCAAGCAAAACAATTCAAGAATTATCAATAATCAAACTATTTGGTTTACAAAAGCGTCTACAAAACCCCAGCCATCTTCGATATCTGGCCCCTCCCAAAAACCCGATATTACAGTTTGAGTACTAAAACTTACATTAGAATGAAGAGAAACAGATCCATAAAAATGTCTGCAGTGTTTCATTATGTGGTGATTACAACTCCTATCTACCGAAGATTCACCTCTGTATGAGCAGTCCGGGGCAAGAAGCTTGATTGCTGCAAATATAATTCAAATTTTCAGCGAAAATGAAGTCATTTTATCACACTTGTCATGGCATTCAAAATGACTACACTTTGTCTTGTATGGCATAAAAGAATTAATTTAATTGGTATATAGAGAAATATCACTAGTACAATTAAAAGGAGTGAAATCATTCGCATTTACAAGATGATCCCACTTGTACTTTTGTAATGTGTTCACCCTAAAAAATGGAAAAAGAAAGAAATAAGGAATGGGGAAAAATTGCATAGATCATACTAACATGTTACAACTTCGATCTCTTCATGTCTCAAATTTAATCAAATTTCTCACAAGCAACAAACCAAGCAATTTCATACTTGTAACAAAGTCCAGCCTCATTTACGCAGTAAGAACCTATATTATTTATCCAAAAGCACTTTTGATAATTCTAGAATCAAGCAATTTTGACAAATGTTTTCTTCCTTGTGTACTTCTTCCTTCCCTCTTTTATTTCTTTTTTTCATTTTTCATATATAAGCAAATCTTCTATCTGCTATTGTTTTTAATGAACAAGTAGAACTTCTACTGCAAGCCTTTGTTTTTTGGTAGATAACTAAAACTTTCATCTGCAAGTCATTTTCGCATTGTCACCAGAAAACATTAATACTTCAGCAATTTACATTTTAGAATGCACATTGTCTTTTCAAAATGGCAAATTTTGTATCCAAAGAGATTGCAAAATTATTTTTCTTATTTATTTCCTTAAAAGGATAAAAAAATCAAATATAATGAACTAAAATATGAAGATGGTGAGGTTTTGGGTAGACAAAATGTAAAAAAAATAAAGCTATAATGTTGATGGAAATGTGGTTTTACATAACTAATTTGAAAAATAATAAAATATATTTTATTAGATGTTGAACTGTTAAAAGAAAATTGTTGCCATGTTTAGAACATATCATATTTAACATGGATGTATTCCATGTTCCAAATAACATAGGTTCAAAGTCCAAAACTATATTTTCAAAGTTTCAACTCCACATGAGTAACTTAACACTAACTTGAATCTTGAATTTGTTTCTTTTACACCAAATTCAGAAATTCAGATCAGTGGTTTGTTTAGGCACTAATAGAAGGGGCAACAACATCAAAGGTAGTATTCAAGTAGGATTTTTTTTTTTTTTAAATACCTGTTTTGCTGGCTGCTGATCTTGAAAACCTTCCAAGAGCTGATCTCCATGGAAGAAATTCCTGAAAGTAAGTCCATCAGACATCAAGTATATAAGATATCCACAAGATTTTGTGCCATTTCTAGGCTGTGGTTAGTTGATAGGAGGTGTTCACCCATAACGCTCAAATTAAATACTGATGCAATCATTCAAGCAAACATTGGTTGTAGTTAAATTCTTTATCTTGATGAGCGCATTAAGGAGATATATCAACACTACTTATGAGTGGACTTAACTAGCCGTTAGGGACGTTGTTGAGCCACAAATCATCCGTAATAACCTAATTAAATAGATGCCCAGCTTCCGTGACTCAAAAGAGAGATAATTGATGTTACATTAGAAGGACAAACCCACAGCAAACCAAATATTTTGAGTGAAAGCATAATTCAAGCATAGACAAACTCCTATGAATATACTTTACTTTTGTCCCCAAATATGGCTTTTCTTAATCCATGTGAAGGAAAGACGTTGCCATATGGTACAGAAAGTTGTTAATTTGTCCAAATTCAAAGATCATTCTTTTTCTAAAATCAATCCATCAAACTCAAAGCTAATATTACCACACCCATACCCATACCCATACCCATGCCCCTACGACATAATGACATAGTTACTTCTGCACTATACTAATTTAGCTTATATGAAATGAACACATCAGAAATCTTTATGATGCTAGGACTTCCTCAACATTCAAATGTCAACATCCACAACTTTCTCATGTTTCTTAAAAGAATATTCAATGACAAAATAAAGAAACCTCCACAAAATCAATCAAAATGTGGATTTCTCTCTCTTCCTTTCCTCTGGTTTGATCATCACAATATGGACGAGAACATTTTGCAAATAATGATGACAACAACAATATCAATGATAGTAATCAACAACTTTTCTATGACACCAAACACAAAGATGAAACAAGCTGGTCAAATATTAGCGAGCAAAGGCAATTAAGAAATAAATTGCAGCTTTACACCAACAAATGTTCAGCCCATTGGGATATCTTTACTTATCCTACCTATTGCAGATTTTGCAATCTGTTAAAATCCACCTATCACCTCACCTACTCCACTAAACCTAACAGCCCATTGGGATATCTTTACTTATCCTACCTATTGCAGATTTTGCAATCATATTTAGGATCAGATGCAGCACAAAAAAAATTGTACTGCTTGATCCCAAGATCGTGATTTTGTTCAGCATTGCTAAATCATTACCACTTGTGATGCTGGCTTCATAACCCTATGAGCCAAATGCACTGAACCAAGGCCATCCTTCATTAATTCACAAATTAACCTTTTAAACCCAAAGCCAACTTTTTACAAAACTCCAAACATTTAGCAAACATACGATACGACAGCTTCAAACCTACAAACTTCGTAAATGTACAACTGAAAATATTTGAATATCCGAATTGTAATATTCAGATAATTACTGAAGCAGATAAAAAATATTAAATGACCAAATTCGCCTAATCTTGTTAGAATCATTGAATATCAGGCCAAGACTAAAAGTGGAGCATTGCCCCAATTCAATTCAAGAATTTCGTCCCTATTCAATTTTGGCTGAACAACCACCAAATTGTAGGAACATGATAAGGGTTGAGCTCAGCAGAGCACAAAACTATGCTAATTCAATTAAGTCTGCAATATTGTTAATTTTCAAATATAGATTACTTAATAAAAACACATTCCATATGCCATCAATTTTCTCCAAGTGACATGTATTGTTTTTCTTTTGCGGTCTCACTGGTCTGCCTAATTGCAGTAAAAAAATATAAGAAAAGAATAAACAAAAATTAAAATCTTAGGGCTTTTTTTTAAATGACGAAGAGAGACCAAAGTAATTACAGAAAATGTGCCATAAAGCTTAAAAATCACGACTAGTTGAGTTGAAATATAGTTTACTACCACTTCAGAAACCAAAACGATAGAAAATATACAAAATTTCATCTTTCTAACCTTTCCTTTGTTGTCCTAGCAATCAAACAAATGGTTAATGAAGCAAACCCCACAATTCCTCTATCTTCTTGCCTAACTAAACCAAAAAAATTACATGTAAATGAACAAAACTGATAATTACCAGAAAAAGAGAGAGAGAAACAAATAGTCCATCGTGCCTTCGCAGGTTCATTTGTGTATGTATTTTAATTATCTGAGATTTTTTTTTTTTTTTTACTTTCTATTTTCTTGCTTCGCATTTTCTCGGCAACCAAACGGAAATAAATAAAGCCATTATGTTACCTTATCTAGGTTTTGGGATGCACAGAGATGCATTGAGAAGCTGAAGGAAGAGATTAAACACGCCATGAAAGTGGAAACTTCGCCTTCTTTCTTTCTCGTTGTTTCCACTTGTACTGAAATCGAGCTACAGGGTGTTTTACACGCTGTTTGGTTCGCCGGAAAAGAGGGAGGGAAAAGGGGAGGAAAAAAAAAATGGTAACGTTTGGTTTGAGTTTTTAGAAATATGATTTGAAAATAGAGTTGTATTTTGAGTTTGTTAGTTTTATAATTATGATTTGAGTGTAGAAAATTTATTTAGTTGCGAGTTTTAAAAAGAATGTTGAATTAAGTTTTGAATGTTTGATGTGACATGTGAAAAAAGAAAATTTATTTAGCTATGAGTTTTTCAAAATAAATTTAAAAAATTATAATTTATAACCAAACACACAACTTAAAATTATATTGAAAATTTTATTCAAAATTCATAATTAAACTTTTTTTAACATTCAAATAAAAAAAAAATTGTCATTTTGGTCTTAAAAAATATATTTTTTATATTTAAAAAAATATCAAAAACAAATATATATATATTTTTTTGGAAAATTAGTCTAAGGTCCCTCTCCCATTTTTAATAATGGAAGAGATCCACAATATTATTTTATGATGTCTAAGGTCCCTCAATCTCCAACACCCATATATCACAGAGAAATTTGATTCCCTCACATCAAACTGCCTCTCTCTCTTTTCTTTTCTCTTTGCTCTTCTCTCTCCGACGAACTCTACCTCCATCATCGGAGTTCATCGTCTTCATTTGTGCTGGACCGGACCAGATACAGTAATCAAGTATATGACAGATGGTATGCTTCTGAGAGAAATTTTGATTGATGAGAATTTATCTCAGTATTCAGTTATAATGCTTGATGAAGCTCATGAGGGGACAATCCACATTGATGTCTTTTTGGATTGTTGAAGCAGCTTGTAAAGAGGAGACTTGACCTTCGATTGATTGTCACATCTGTCACATTAGATGCAGAGAAATTTTCAAGTTATTCCTTTAACTGCAATATCTTTACAATTCTTGGAAGAACTTATCCGATGGAGATACTCTGCACCAAATAGCCAGAAAAGTGACTACCTAGATATATCTCTAATCACTGTTATAGAGATCCACTTGACAGAACCTGAGCGTGATATCCTCCTCTTCTTGACTGGTCAAGAGGAGATTGCTCTCTCTCTCTCTTTCTCTCTCTCTACTCATACACATATAAACATCCATGTATATAGTATGTCTTCTTTTCTCTTTGCTCTTCTCTCTTCGACGAACTCTACCTCCATCATCGGAGTTCATCGTCGTCATTTGTACTGGACCGGACCGGATACAGTAATCAAGTATATGACAGATGGTATGCTTCTGAGAGAGATTTTGATTGATGAGAATTTATCTCAGTATTCAGTTATAATGCTTGATGAAGCTCATGAGAGAACAATCCACGTTGATGTCCTTTTTGGATTGTTGAAGCAGCTTGTAAAGAGGAGACTTGACCTTCGATTGATTGTGACATCTGTCACATTAGATGCAGAGAAATTTTCAAGTTATTCCTTTAACTGCAATATCTTTACAATTCTTGGAAGAACTTATCCGATGGAGATACTCTGCACCAAATAGCCAGAAAAGTGACTACCTAGATATATCTCTAATCACTGTTATAGAGATCCAGTTGACAGAACCTGAGCGTGATATCCTCATCTTCTTGACTGGTCAAGAGGAGATTGCTCTCTCTCTCTTTCTCTCTCTCACAACTCATACACATATAAACATCTATGTATATAGTATGAAGTTAAACTGTTTGACAAAATGCTTTTTAGAACTCTAAAACACATAACTGTGAGATTTGGTTTGACAAAACTCTTTTTAGAACTGTAAAACATATAGCTATGAGCTTTGAAGCTAACTTGTTTGATAAAATGTTTCTTAGAAAAATAATCATAGAGAAAACAAGTACAATTTTCTCTAGTTTGTTCAAAACACAGAGAAAATTATGATTGTTTTTTTGTTTCTAGGTAGCCCAAATTTCTCTGGTTTGGTTTGATTTTGAATGACTAATAATAAAGAAGTTTAGATAACTAAGAAATATTTCCTGGTAGGTAACTAGAGAAATTCTTTGATTTTGAATGACCAATAATGGCTATGAGAAATTTGGAGAATCAGAAGCTTCTTCTACAACCATATATCCAAAGAAAAAATATTAGAGAGTGAGAGAGAGTTTAGGCTAAGATGAGACTTGAACTTACTTTGTCCAAAGAAATTAGAGTGGGAAATTCAGAGAAATTTGGCGAGAATTTCTCTAGACAGTGGGAAGTCCAGAGAAATTTGGAGAGAAGTCCAGAGAAATTTGGCGAGAATTTCTCTGGACAGTGGGAAGTCTAGATAAATTTGAAAAGAAGTCCAGAGAAATTTGGAATTAGGTGAGGATAGATATACCCTAAAAAATTTGTGGATAAGTACAACAAAAATTTATTGAATTCATTCAAAGAAAATGATAGGAATTTCCCAAACAATTGTAGAAATTCTGATTCAATATCAACAATATAGCATATTCAAACAAGATGAAGCACATTACAATTTCTCTGGAGAGAAGGGAAATTTCTCTGGAGAGAATGGAAGGCCAGAGAAATTTACAGTGGGAATTCTAGGGAATGTTAGAGAAATTGGAAAGTCCAGAGAAATTCTTCCCAGAATTTCTCTGGACTAATTTTATCTTTGAAGTTGAATTTTCTCTGGAAGTCTAAGGAATGACTTCTTCTCTTTCTTGTCTATGCTAATGTATGGCAAGATCTTACTGTCAACCACCTCATCTTGTTGGACTTGATCTACAAAGAGCACTAGGATTAGCAAACAGAATTTTGATAGCAACCCATCATGAAAAGATATTTGTAAGAGAACATATAAAATGCACGATGATACAGAGTTTCCTGGATTGTGTGAATTTTCTTTGAACTATCTGAATTTTCTCTGGATGTCTAAATTTTCTCTGGACTATCTGAATTTTCTCTGGACTTTCTAGAGAAATTCTCTGGATCGAATTTTCTCTGGATTGATGTTGAGGGACCTTGGACATTATGAAAATATTGAGTGTCCTTTATGTTATAAATTCTTAATATCAGGGACCTTAAAAAAAATCTCCCTTTTTTTTTCCAAATAACTGGTGGTGAGTGGCGATTGGTAATTGCAACAAAAAAAAAATACACTGTTCCGGTCAATCGACCGGACGTCCGAGAGAATGATTGGATAGACCCAAAATTAAAAAATCTTCTGCTTTTCAAAATGGAGAACATGAAAGAGAGAGAGAGTAGCCAACGTGAAGGAGAATTACATTTTGAAAAGTGTGGTGAATCACATTTTGAAAACTCCATCCAAACATTAAATGCAAATAGAGAGGTGAAATTATATTTACAGAACATAACAAAACACGACCAATAATTTGCTTGATTTGTGTTTTATGAAAACACTTTTCGGAAAATTCTAATTTATTGTTTTTCGTATTTTTTTTTTGTTTTTACTGAACTTTTTTAATATTTTAAACAAATATTTTTAATTTTTAGACACATCTAACATAAATACACTTAAAAAATTAATTTCCGTGAAAAAAATCTTTAAAAAATTCACTAAATACCAAAAATAAAAAATAAATAAAAATTTAGTATATTTTTTGTATTTTTGTGTATTTATTAACTTTTTTGAAATATTTTTTTTTTTAGACACATCTAGGTAAGTTGTATCTAAAAAAGTTTTTAAAAAAAATGCTTTAAATTTTAAAAATATTTACTAAAAACAAAAATACACGAAAAACAAAAAACTTAGTTTTCAAAAAACTAAATTCAAAAAATTAAAACTAAACACACTGATGTTACATGAGTTTGGTCATGACATCGATCCCAGCCTAAAATAGGCCTCATTTGACAATTATATATTTTAGTTAAAAGATTAAAAAGTCATTATAAATTATCATATTATTTTTTTTAATATATATATTTTTATAAAAAATCAAAAAAATTACTAAAATAATTTATTTCCGAACGTGGCCTAAGTTAGGTTTTTGCAAAAATAGGGCCAGGCTGCCCAAGTCAAATCTAGGGCCATACGTCATCGGGTCAAGCCCACGGACTTTTTAATTTTCAATTTTTAATGTTTATTTATATTAAGTTTTTTTTTTGTTTTTTTTTTTTAACTTCCCTTAAACTTGTATTATTAGAAAAATGTGTTTGTTGAAACAAATTTTTTGTCTGTTTTCCAACAAGAAATAAGATTTTTTTTCAACTTCTATTTTCTTTTTAGAGGTGGTGATTAATGCGCATCCACATCAAGTTGGTTGTTATAATTTTAGAATAAAATTTACGTGCAAAATATTCATCCATCAATCTCATTATACCAAAATTAAATTTAGAATTGCTATAGTATATTGCTACATGTAGCGATATACTGTTCACAAATTATATAATATTTTATCATTTATTTTTAAGAGTAATCGGACATCCTACCGGACGACTGACTACTACACCATTTTTCTTTTTGAAAATATGAAATATAATATTTTATCATTTATTATCAAATGACCGGTTGTGCGCGATTATTTTTATTTTATTTTATTTTATTTTATTTTTTTGAGAAATATGGCAAGAACCTTCTAGAAGCTATTTTGGGCAGGGTTGTTTGCATAATTCAGCAAATCATAAAAATGAATATATTGTCAAATTAAATTTTAAAATAGAGAAACTGATGGAAGTGCACATACAAAAATGCTAGATAAAATAGCAAAAGTAATTTTTTTGATTATAATTTAACTCAAAATTTGTTGAACTTGACGTGAATGTTCAAAAATAGCCAGATGTGATGGTTGATCGTGGAAGTGGTTGGAGTGTCACTAGAATTTATAGGGGTGGCGAGAAAGGGGCCGAAGGCTAGCCAAAAGATTGCCGAAGTTCATTAAAATTTACACAAGAAGTTTGCCAAAATTTACCTAAGGGTGGCCACAAATAACGGAAGGCTAAAAGTAACAGTCAATGATAAAAGAAGATCAATTGTGATTGAGGAGAGATAAGATCATAAAGCCTTCAAAATCAAAAAATAAAATATGAAAAAAAACACATTTTTTATCGATGGGTCTAGTTCCACTTTTAGGAAAAGAAAATAATATATCAAACTTTTTTCATTTCCAATTTCAAAAATATAAAAACAAAGTCAAAGAAAAAAACGTCATCAAATGACGGGTAAATTGCAGGCTGTTGTATTAAATTAGCAGCAATGATTGAGGATCACAATTTTTGTGGCTCAAATGGTTCGAAATTGATAAAACGACGTCGTTTTGAGTACAAAACAACTTCAAAATTGCCAAAACGACGTCGTTTTGGCAATTTTGAGCCATTTAACCAAACCAAACCAAACGAAGCCTTAAATCCCATCAAATGTTCAAAATCAAAAAATAAAATATGAAAAAAAACACATTTTTTATCGATGGGTCTAGTTCCACTTTTAGGAAAAGAAAATAATATATCAAACTTTTTTCATTTCCAATTTCAAAAATATAAAAACAAAGTCAAAGAAAAAAACGTCATCAAATGACGGGTAAATTGCAGGCTGTTGTATTAAATTAGCAGCAATGATTGAGGACCACAATTTTTGTGGCTCAAATAGCTCGAAATTGCTAAAACGACGTCGTTTTGAGTACAAAATAACTTCAAAATTGCCAAAACGATGTCGTTTTGATAATTTTGAGCCATTTGAGCCACAAAAATTGTGGCCCTCAAACATTTTCCTTAAAATAGTGAACAATCCTGTTGATTTGAGTCAGTGAATTTTGGCAGTTGACACATGGACAACCAATCAAAAAATCAACAACATAAAATAATTATGATCAAAACCCATCATAAAAAGAAACAGTTACAACTCTACTCATATTACACCACCTATATTTGAAAATTGAGTGTCTTGTATAAGATGAATGGATGTGCAAGGCAGCAAGCAGAGAACACAATATCACAATAAGAATTAAAAAGGAAAAGATAATTCGAACATGTTAAATATTATCTCTGTCCCATTTCGCAATAATAAATAAATCTTTCTTATTCTTTTCTTAAACAAGTCCCCAAGAGAGCTTAGTTTTTCCACACATAGTTGTTGGCCCAGGGAATTAGATAGTGACGGGAAAGAAAGGGAACCAACTGGCGAAAAAGAAGTAAACACTCCCAAGCCGAAATATCACAAGTAGATCAAGGTGCCCTTTATTATTAGGGGGAATCGCTTTTCTGAGCTACAAAAGAGGAGAGAGAACTCCATATATAGAAATGAGCATGAGGTAATCCACTTGAAAATTCAAACCCAACTTTCCGCAAGCCTTAATATTTTCAATCTGAATTCTCAACAAACCAACATCACCATTACCACTCCCCAAAACCACCGCTTCCTTTCTTACCACAATTACTACATCAGTAGTCAAAGGAATTAATTTCAAAATGTTTTCCCAAAACAAAATATTAACACCAAAAGAACAATAAATTTCTTCTAAGCTCACTACAAAAGTTGCAACCTTTTTTTTGGTTTTTTTGTTTGTCTAGTAACCCCTGGGAATTTGTAGGCTTGTTCTCTGCTACATAGCTTCCAAAAATAACTAGTCCTCCCCGAGGCTACTCCACTGTAAACAAAAAGGCAATCATATGAATTTACTTCGGGAAACCATCGAAGTGTCTAAATCCCTAAATCTCTATCTCTAAGAATAGGTTTCTTCAGCGATCATGTACTTTGTTGTCTTTTTTCCTAACAAGTAATTTACTGTGACATGGGACATTGTTGCGACGGTGATGCAGATGTTTCATCTCCAAGGTTCATGTTAGCACATCCGGACAGTAGCTCCTGCAAGATAAGTCAAAATTAGCACGACATCACCAAAGAAGGATAAATTCATAGCTCACACAACTACGTGATGGATAGTTTCTCAGAGAGACCTGTTTGGTTGTGTTTTCATTTTCTATTTTCCATTCTTATTTTTTTGGAAAACGTGGAAAATCTGTTTCGTGAATTGTGGATTTTAGGAAACACCAAAAAGTTGTTTCACACAAAAATGAAAACGATGAGTGTTTTTGAACTTTTTATTGTTTTGTTTCTGAAAATACAAAAAAAATAAAATAAAAATGGAGGAACGCAGAACAAAGAATGCAACCAAATAAGCTCTACAGCAATGTTCCACAGCATAACCAAGAATACCTAGTTGTACAAGCATCTTTTACCAGATGTTCCAACACGGAAGTTATATAGAATGTGTAGAACTTGTTAAAAGTCACTTCATAGTAGTTGGGTTCGCCATTGAGTCAATAGAGAATATATGAAGCACTACTTCAGCGTGGAACAACAACAGATGGCCAAGTATTCCCTATGGATTTCACTAGGCAAATGTCAATCTATTATTGCTGGGAAGGTAACCACTCCTTTATTTCCAGTACAAAATGTGTAATGAGGCCGTGGTGAAAATATAGATACCCAAAATGTTTCATCTTCTTTTTTCATGTTAAAAAAAAATTTAAAATTTTCTGCCTGGAAATGGCTTGAAAAGATATAAAACAAACTATATAAAGAAAAGATTTCTCTATATTGGCACTGCAGATGCCATAAAACTAGTGTGGTATGTGAACCAGATGGTTCAAAAAGATAGGCAGGAGCCTGCGGCCCAGTAACATATTAAGACAGTGTTTACTTTACTGGAATGAAAGCTGGGAGGTAATGGTTTGGTTCAGTAAATAATAAAGATAAGAAATGCACATTCCAAATGGAATCACCATTCACCAATTTAGGAAAAAGGACATTCCATTGGGAGACCAAGGAATAGCTATTCCATTCCTGCACAAAATCATTCTAATAAACCAAACACAACCTAAGAAAACTTTCAGGTAGTACAGTATGTCAACAAAAGTGAAACTTTCAATGTTTTATCAGGTTAAAATCTCCACTGAATTAGATTAGCCAATACCAGTATTAATAAAATGCCATTACAAGCCATATTGGTAATCTAAAAAAGATTGGCAGGAAGGTCATCACATAGGTTGAAGCATACTTGATATGTTGTTGCATCAACGTTCTCCAACTTTTGCCTTTCAATAAGTTGGCTTGCAGTTTGATCCATCAAGTGCCATTGCACAACCTGCAAGGACTCTCAAAGCGAGGACAAGAATTTATCTCATAAAATAGCTTAGCTTATGTAACTAGGACTAAAGTAAGAAAATGATTTATTTAATTTATTTTTTTTAAATTGAGAGTAATAAGCGCATACAAATAACAAGGCAAAAATCAACCTGGCTATGGCATCTTTTCTCATTATTTTGTCTTGAATATTTTGATAAAAAATTCAATTGGCAAAAAGATAAACACGGCAGAGATATGGCAAAAAATTTATTTTTTATATATTTTTTATTTACTATGTATATGAATATAAATTTAAGACACATAGATATGAGAGGCATGATGTATATGTACCTGTATTTATATTAATTTTTTTTCTACTTATTCCAGTTTTATTTCCATATATTTTACTTTGATTCCAAATCAAATTTATAAAAAAAAATAGCAGGGGGAAAAAGTACAAGGGTGTCCTGAGGTATGTCCAAACACAGAACATGCTTGTCCATGAAGTGCCCCCAGCATGTGCTACAAAAAAACTAATTAAAAATTTTGACAGGCCCTGTGGCGTGTCAGACACGGACATTGAAGTTATCTGGTTACTAATAATAAGTGAAACAGAATCCAATCTGGACACTCAAAACAATGATATATTACCAAACTCTTTTGTCTAACAATACATAATTTAGCAAAATTCAGACGTTGATAGTACAAAATTCAGGAAAACAAGTATTAAATAAGCAAATTATAGTACCTGCAGTAGCTTCTTTACTGTTGTCTGGTGTAAATATTGACTCACCCTTTGTAATTCATTATCTAAGCACCACTCAGCCTAGAACAATAGGGAAACAAATCATTACATGTGATTTACATTATGCATTGCATGTACAACTTTTGTTAACTGCAAAACTAGTAACAACCTTCTTAATGTAGTCAACAGATGAATTGCGGGCAAGCCACTCTGAAGCTAATCTTGAATAGTAATTTGCAGCATCTGCAAGTATTGCCTTCTCCAAATTGTCATAATAGTTTGTGTTTTTCCCTCCTCCAATTTCAACAAAAAAGGCCATGGCATTATTTAGCAGGTCCCTATCAATTGAATTCTTGGAGCGGTCCTGATTGATCTGTATGCACAATGAAATCAAATGTGACAAGAACAAAATAGACTTATAAACTGAGCAAGTCAACTCAACCTACCAGCAAAATTGCAGCATCATGAAACTTATGGTAGTGCGCATTGAAAACCTGAAACAGAAAAACAGCATTAAAAAATGAAAACTGGGGAAGAAAATTACACATGGGGAAGCTAAACTAGGAATGTTAGAATAATATCCTTACCAGATCATGGAAACAACGAACAGAGGCATCATTAAGTGACGCATCAATTTTTTCATGGCGATCAAGGTATAGAAAGAATCCTCCCAGACACTTAGCCATCACTTTATATTTTGCCCACATATTGGTAAGTTCTATCAACAGAGAGGCATCATTTTTGTCTTGTAAGGATGGCAAAACCTGAAAGCATAATATAAAGAAATACTAATTAGGATCTATGATTGGAAATTCGATACTTGCAGATAGATTTCAAGCAAAAGTATATGCATTGCAAGGAGAAAAGGGGATGCCTAAGCAATTCCGCATATACTATTAAACTTAGTGGTTTTGTCTTTATCAAATAATTCAACCTAAAACTATAGGCTCTATAGTCTATACCATGTTAAGAAGATGCTAAGGTGCACTTAGCCTCGCGTTTCATGCCTGAATTTGCATTCAAGTAAGACTCATATTGATCCTCAGGCTCTATCGTCTATACCATGTTAAGAAGATGCTAAGGTGCACTTAGCCTCACGTTTCATGCCTGAATTTGCATTCAAGTAAGACTCATATTGACCCTCTCTCTCTCTCTCTCTCAAATTACCAACTAATTGCAAATTTGTGAATGAGGCTAAGCAATCAAAGACGATTCCTAGAAAGCAAACCCCATCAGCGCAGAGCAAACCCCATTGTAAAGAGGATGTTTTTAAGTTGCTCTACATTACCCCGGATGAATGGCATCAATAGTTCATAGCGTTCCTTGTGAACTGATAAGTACAAGTTGGTCCTATAAAACTTGAAAAGAACTTCTGATCCATCTAACTATGCTTCTATCATCTATGAATTACAAATTACAATCCATTCAGTCTTTGCCTCCTTTTGAACATGAAGCCTAAATAACCAAAGAAAGTTATTCACTCTTAAAATGTCATTCTACTAATAATTTTTGTTACTTTGTCATCTCTATTTCCACTTTTCCTAATATCATGTTCAAATAATCAATCTTAGACTTATTTTTACAGAAACTTCTTTGTTTTGAAGGTTCTTCTCACAACATGATTTAGCATTTACCTCTAATTCAGCACACACCAAGAAAACTTGTCATGTGTATGCCTAGTTTATCTGTCCATAGTTAAGCCAAAATTGTAGAGGTTTGATGTTAATTCTGTCTCATTTGCACTCCACGTATTTTCAATTACTTTCCCCTTTTTCCATTTTTTATACTTTCCCCTCTATTGTCAAGGAAAAAAATACCAACATGTGCCATTATCTCAAGATTTCAGATTATAGGGACATTAACACATACAAGGGAGATATCTAACATTGATTTATTTATTTATTTTGATAAGTATATAATATCTACATGTTTGCAAATTTCTAAGTTATGACACAGACATGAAAATTTTCAACAGATTTAACCTAAAATTGACATTATATGCTCATAATATTTCCATTTTAAAAGTTCATATAATTTATAGTGCACAAGTAGGCACTTAAGAGTCTGTTCAGATGATCAATCAATGTAATGCAATTTAAAACAAAATACTTTCAACTTAGATAGTAGAGAGATATCCCTGAAGCTTGAGTTTAGGCATTCCAAAAAACTAGGGAAGATGAAACTTAGAAAAATTAGATAATTGTAGAAGTTCAAAAAATATTAGGGATAATGATTGAGAACAATAAACGCTATAAAATCAGACTACTAGCTGCCTCACAATGTCTAGCTGAAAAGAAAACGGATAAGGGAGCTTGCTTGCTTATTCAAGGCAAAGTGATAGTGTTAGTTTATTGCAAGAGTGAATCAAATTTCCAAGATGCAACATAAATGGCAATGAAACAGGTAGGTGTCTTTCACAATTTATTGACATAACTCATAAAGGTTGAGCACGTACCAAGATTGTCCAGGAGCAATTGATATATGAAGACAAAATGATTAAAAAAAAAAAAAAAGAGGATATATCACGATAGACAAGATATCGAGATGATGTATTCCAGAACTTAATTCTTCCACCAATGAATGGTCAAATTCAAAATATTGCCCTATTATATCTATACCAGCTTCACTTGATACTCAATACATCGCTATAGATATCAAACATGGAGATGATACTTCAAATACTGTCTAACATTACCATACAACAAAACAACATTTTTTCCCACAAACATTCTCTTCAATCTACTCAAGGAAATATGCTTAGTTCATCAATGTAAATGACTTCAACACTAATGCAGCATCCATGAAGTAGCTTTCGAAGGAGTGCAAAGCTGCTCCATTCCACATGATGGTATTCAAATTCATCATCGAAACCAGCCTAGAGTCATTCTGAAGCTCTCTTAACTTAGTAGCCAGCAACATTGTCCTAAACAAGTCATCTAAAATAAGTCAGCAAGGTTTGAAAGATTACTTCTAATCAAAATCATTTTCACCCCATTTGTCGACAAAACCTGACTTCCAATAAATCAAGTCATTTTCAATCCTCCAGGCCGTTGCATTACAAGAACCTAAAATGTTTTTACTTGAGAAGAGGGGTTCCAAAACACACAACATAGCATAGGAAAGTTTCTCAATAATGAACAAAATATTTCACTAGGAGTTCTCTTTAGCAACATTACCAACTGACTTCAAATCAGCTTTTCCAAGATTAATTTCACAACCAAAAACTAACTGGAATATTTATCCAAAAATAAATAAAAACAGAAACACTACTTCAAAAGGAAGGACATCCTCTCAAATGTCATCAATACCCCCGTTAGAATTCTTCCCCATCCTCGTTTCTCCAAAAAAATCCCAATAAATTCTCATCAGTAGCCTTTAGTTTTAAATACTTAGACCTTCCATAACAACAACTTAAAGGAAAGAAGAGAATCTCCTTCCAAACAAGACTCAATATGTGTCGGCAATACCTGATAAAAACTAGCTTACAGGGCATCCCATGTTCATTGCATTGCATGCATGGTTCAATCCTAGTCCCCACTTACAATATGTAAGTTTAATGAAATTACAATGCAAATGAACTATAAGAATAGCATAGATAAGTTCATTAAGCAACAGGACAAACTAGTATGTCAAGTAACGGGGGCAACATTAACTATGAATTACGAGTAAAAATGCCAACATCTTATTGACAATCCAATTATTATTATTATTATTGTTGTTGTTGTTGTCGTCGTCGTCGTCGTCGTCGTCGTTATTTTAAAGTTGAATCTGCTAGTAAGACAAAACTACAGTGCAAAATGTCGAAATTTTTGGATTCTTACCTTTGAAGAAATGCTCTCTTTCAAAGCCCTTTCAAATCTTTGATAAAGATGTGCTGAATAATTAGAAGGATGATACTGAATACACATGAAATAAACACAGCTATACAGAGAGTGAAGGATGTACTTTCCATTGAAATCAAATGGCATCGAATATTCACATAGATTAACAGAAACAAGAGCGGGGAAAATAAATATATATAATATAAAATAAAATAAAAAGAGCAAAGAACTAGATTCAATTCAATAAAAAAATTCAAATTGATTAGAGTGTTTTATTGTTGTTCCTTTAAATCTTGTCAACGTCAGCTTGTTTTATATATTTAAATTGGGTGGGTATCGTTAAGTTTCACCAACTTCATAATGCTCTTCTAATGCTCCTTTTATAACCTTGTTTTGTTCCTAAGAATATATACGTACTGTATTGTCCAATAACTGAATACCAATTTTCTGTTAGATCAAAAATTATAATATTCTGGGTAGGGGTTTAGCAAGATGAATAAAACAAGCTAATAGTGATGGACCCATTTCAACAGAACATTAAGGCATTAAAAAGATCAATCCTTTATTTGATACGATGATGGAAAATAGAGAGGAATGCAGGAGTTGAAAATGTTACTACAGGAGAAGGACAGAAGATTTTCTCAGGCTGTTTTGTCAAAGCCAGTTGCCATAAGAAAAGGAGAAGTAAAAGTGTGTTGCTTGATTTTAGGACAAGAAGCAAGGGGGTTTACTTACCATTGTACCTTATAGTTCCCTTACTAGCTTTTAGGAACATTACAATTTATAACCACATCAGTTGGTGCGGTTTTACTGAAATTTTACAAAACTAAAATTGCAAATTTTAGTCTAGCTCCCTGCTTAAAGATTGGAATCAAAACCTTCAAAAGTCCCCTTCAAACTTCCATTAATTTAAAACCAAAAAAAAAAATATGATTAGTGAATTTAGGCACTCACCAGAATGGCAGATTTTAATTAGCTAAAAGACCCATAAAGCCTGCCTCTCCCCAGTCCACTGTTTTATATAGGAACTATAGTAGATTATGCAAAAACGAGCTGAAACAAGGACAGGAATTGCCAAAAAAGCTTACCATTCATGTATTATCTATTATCTATCATCATAAGAACATAAAATTATATCTGGTTATCATAAGCACCCATCAAGGCCTAAATAAATGAAGGCAACAAGAAAAAACAAGACAACCCATGAACATTGAACAATATAAGATTCATTCATCATTATACAAAGTTGGGAAAAAAAGAAAGAATTCGTGCAGCCAACCCCCTGTAGTCAGGAATCAGGATATCATATTAATTCAAATTAAGGGGTTGTTTGGGATGTTTTAAATAAGTGCACTTTTTGACTTTTTATGAAATATGAGGTGGGTTTGAAGTGATGTGATAGAGAGGTGAGGTGACTTAAATAAAATGATGTGACTTAAATAGGATAGTGACTTTTTGACTTTTTTTTGAAGATGCCAAACTTAGCCTAAGTATAATCTAATAATATATTCCATCTGACTCTGGACATTCAATCTAAGTTGCTTAATCATCAAAACCAAGAAAACCCAACTTAATTATGAATTGGGAACCCATTTTACAACAATGTAAATTAAAACAGAAATCATCAAAACCAATAAAAACCAAACTTAATTATGAATTGGGAACCCATTTTAGAGCAATTTAAATCAAACGAAAAACCATCAAAACCAACAAAGTCCACTTAATCAATTCAAGAAAGGATACTCATAGTACTTCATATATTCGGCAGCAGTGAAGAGTGCATTAGTGGGGTACCCATCAAGAATCATCTTTGCCTTCACAATGCCCTCTTCTAATATACCCAAACCCTCCTCTAGCGATATCCTCCTCCCCATCTCCGTAGTTTTCCTATCTCAATTTTGCAAAATACACATTTTTTCAGAGTCAGTCCAATATCATTAAAATAACAAGAAGTCAATGGAATAACAACAATCAAGTCAACATTATATATATACACACACATATATGTATATACATTGTTTGTGTTGCTTCTGATGCACGTATTCACGCAGCTTTTCACGATACAGAAGTGCGTATATAATACATATATACATATATATATGTGTGTGTGTGTGTGTGTGAAACTAGAGCTATATGAGAAAATTTATTGATATGAATCATTGGAATGTACAGATATTGAAGAGCATAGATGGAGTTAGGGTTTCGGAATTTACTTTGGACTGTTTATTGGAAGAACTGTAACAAAGTAATTGTAGGAATATCTTCTTCTCTCACCAAGGCGTGGAAATTTGTAAAAGGATATATATAGCTCGAGTTTGTGTCGGGGATAATTTAAATAATTATATTTTTTTGATTTTTTTATGAGTAAATATATCAAAAAAATAAAGAGATAATATGATTTACAACAATGATTCATCCCACTAAAAACATCACCACTAATAGCACTAATGCATTAAAAAAGTAAAAAAAAAAAAAAAAACACTAACTCTAAGACCAAAACATCACATCATTAATGGCGAAACCCACTACCACCTAATTAGTGGGAGCACTAATTAGTGCTCCCAAGCATTTTTCTATGATTTAATGATTCCGTTAAGTAGCTTGAAATATACGTGGCTTAGAGCTGTCAAACGACGTCTTTTTGACATTTTTTTTCCCCTCTTTTCTCCCCCCTCTGTTCTGCTATCTTCTGAAACTGGTAACAGAGGCGAGAGAAGGAAAGAGTTGAATCGAGCTTCAACTCGAGCTATCTTCTGCTATCCTTTGAAACTGGTAACAGAGGCCAGAGTAAGATCGTAGACCAGCACTGTCGTCTTCAAAGGAGAGTTGAATCGCTGCCTCTATTCTTCGAATGAAAGTGGAGAACGACAAGGATGAAAAAAAGGAACGGATGAATCTTATAGACCTCACATCTCTTCAATTTTCTCTTACTTTTTTCCAAACTCATCCCAACAAGTCCCCAATTTTGCTCCTCTTCCACCACCTAACAACACTTCCAGATCCCAAAACACCACAGTTCAATCATCCACTACCCAAAATCAAAATCAGACTCGAGTAAAGATTTACATGATAAAATTGAAGCCAAAATCGGACTGTAAATTCAGTGCTAACATCTTCCCCTATTAGAAAAAATTATACAGGGAATAAAGATGTGAAAGTCACAGAGAAGGGTAAGAAACAGAGTAATGGGACTGATATGGGTTTGTCTGCAAAACATGGGAGTGAGAATTTGGTGGAGTCTTTGATGAATTGTAATTCTTTTGATGGAAATTGGGTGAGAGATGATTCACATCCTCTGTATAAACCTGGGTCATGTTTAGTGTTGGTGAGTGAGCAATCATCACAGCTTCTTCTTTGCAGGGAACCAACATTGAAGAAAAGCTTTTTCTTGAGAGTGGGTTTTGAAGAGAGAAGAGAGAACAATCATCAAAGCTTTTTTGGGTCAAGTTTGAGAGAGAGTTAGAGATAAGAGAGAAAAGAACCAAGACTAAAGAAAAACTTTTCTTGAGAGTGGGTTTTGAAGAGAGGAGAGAGAACAATCATCAAAGCTTTCTTGGGTCAAGTTTGAGAGAGAGACAGAGATAAGAGAGAAAATGTGTTTGTATTTGTTTGGCCATTCGACCTCACTTGCTGGAGTTACGGAGTATTTTTTAGAAAAATGCTTGGGAGTACTAATTAGTACTCCCATTAATTAGGTGGTAGTGAGTTTCGCCATGAATGATGTGATGTTTTGGTCTTGGAGTTGTAATTTTTTTTTTTTTATTTATTTTTTTAATGTATTAGTGCTATTAGTGGTGATGTTTTTAGTGAGATGAATCATTGTTGTATTTTTTATGACAGTAATGATAGGGGCCATAAAAATAGTAATTTAAATGGTTTAAAATTATTAAAATAACGTCGTTTTGGACATAAAATTTATCAAAATGATGTTATTTTGATAATTTTTTTCTTGAGAGTGGGTTTTGAAGAGAGAAGAGAGAACAATCATCAAAGCTTTTTTGGGTCAAGTTTGAGAGAGAGTTAGAGATAAGAGAGAAAAGAACCAAGACTAAAGAAAAACTTTTCTTGAGAGTGGGTTTTGAAGAGAGGAGAGAGAACAATCATCAAAGCTTTCTTGGGTCAAGTTTGAGAGAGAGACAGAGATAAGAGAGAAAATGTGTTCGTATTTGTTTGGCCATTCGACCTCACTTGCTGGAGTTACGGAGTATTTTTTATGACAGATAGGGGTCATAAAAATAATAATTTAAATGATTTAAAATTATTAAAATAACGTCGTTTTGGACATAAAATTTATCAAAATGATGTTATTTTGATAATTTTAAATCATTTGAATCACTATTTTTGTGAACTTCAAACATTTTCCTTTTCATGATTTAAAAAGGATAAAAATATTCACTTTTGTATGTTGTTATTTATTTATTTATTTTTGTTTTTGAAAAGTAAGTGATTTGGAAATTAATTTAATAATAATAATAATAATAAATAGGAAAATTTATAATAAAAAATATTTTAGAGTTTGACTATTGTAACAAAATAAATCTTAAATTTATTATTGTCAATTTTAATTCCTAGTTTTTTTTATTTTCAATCTAAATTATTTGTCTATTTTTAATAAATAAAATTAACAAAAAATAATATTTTGGTCATTAAACTCAATAAAAATTGATATTTTAGACATTTTATGTATACCTATATTGAATTTAATGTCTTAAATATTTTTTTATCAGTTTTACTTAATAAAAATAAGCAAATAATTTAGATTGTAATAATTAAAAAATTAGTGTTTAAATTGATAATATTAAAAATTCTAAGTTTATTATGTTATAATAATCAAATTCTAAGATTTTTTTATTTATTTTTCCTAATCAATAATTACACCAACAATGATAACTTTAAAAATAAGGACGTTTCTATTTACATACCACAAAAAAATCTCAATACATCATTTATATTGTTTGGATATAAATTTATGAATAAAAAGTAATTGTTCAAACATAAAAAATAACGAAATATATATTCGGACAATTTATTTTTGTTCATCAGTTGTGAACATTTACCTTTTGTTATAAAGTTTATATTCGAAAAAAAAAATAGTGTGTATTGAGATTTATTGTGGTGTGCAACTCACATTTTTCTATAAATAATTACGATAAAGTGTTGCTATTAGCACTCCAATTAATACTTTTAACCATTCATTTTTTTGACCTCCAACTACAAAATTCAAAATCCTAAAAATTTGTAAGAACTCCCAAAATAATACCAAAAATATTATTCTAAAAACATACACCAATCAAAATTGTGACAACCCTCACCTCTGATTAATGCTAAACTGTAACTGAGAATGATAAGTAACTGATTAAGATGAAATCCTAAATTGATTACATGAGTATATTGTTTGTAATTGCATTTCTATCTGTTTGACTATAGAATGATCTGTTCATATTTTAATTTTGAATTTGCGAATTGAAGGTCTTATCGGCGACCGAACCAGAAATTGATTGGTATTTTATGCTAATTAGAATTTATGTGATTTTATGGTAGGTTTAATGAAAATTTGATTTGGATCGATTAAATTGGATTAAATAATGTTAAATTACATTAGTTTGAGTTATTACCAAATTGTCATTAGTGGGTCACTTTCATACAACACTTTGAGACTTAATTCATATCAGTTGGTGCATCATTTTGTCCATCTTCTAGTCCAAAACTGAGAGAGAGAGAGGGAGAGTAGGAGAAACTTGATTTCAACAAGGATTAGCTTAGAGACTCAGAGGAATTGAAGTAGATTGCAAAATTGAGCTTCCATACCTAGAATTCAAGACCTAAGGTAGAGAATTCATCCTTTGGTTTATGTATTTAAGTTGTTTCTTGCATGATTCATGGAAATTAGTGATCTAAGTCAAGAATTGGTTTAAAAGGTTGAATTGAGAGTTAATCCTTGCATGCATGTGCACATTCTTGAATTTTGGAGTTGTTTCATGAGAATTTCCACATGCAAGTTCATATTTTTGTTATGGTCCATGAATTCATCATGATTTTGAGCTCAACATTGCATTTGATCTTGTTTTGAAACACTAGGGTTCATGAGAACTCATGCATGTATGATCTTGCAATGTTCTTCGTGCTTACACTTAATTTTTGTGTTCAATTGGCTTACCTTTGGGCTTGATCTTACAAATGATCTTTAAAAACATGTTATACTATGAGTTTTCAAGAGTCTTCCAGAAAATTAGCCCAAGGGGATCGAATTTGAAGCTTTAAAAGTTGAATTTCATGCTTGAGGTTCAATCTGGAAATTCCAGATTTTAGACCCATACTCAAGCATAGGACTTCACGCTCGAGCGTGCACTCTGAGTACATGCACTTTCGCTCGAGCGTGGAAAGTCACGCTCGAGAGTGAAATGCATATGCCCAGAAGTTCATGTGTTTTACAGTCCGCTCGAGCGAGAAAGTTCACGCTCGAGCGAGGACCTGAGTCTCACGCTCGAGCGGGGGTCGAGCGTGAATTGCATACATCCAGTACTTTTCATGAAGTTTGCAGTCCACTCGAGCGTAGGAAGTCACGCTCAAGTGGAGCTCCTTTGTCTGCATGTCCGCTCGAGCGTAGAAAGCTACGCTCGAGCGTGGGTGGGACCCCTGTTTCAACTAATTTGAAAAGTGTTTTAAAGTGCACTTTGCATCCTCTTTCCATCCTAGGCATTTCTAGGCCATGTTTAAGGCATCTTAATGAGGATATTGAGGTAGAACCACACCGGAGTGAAGATAGGGACTAAGTTGTTGATTCCCGAGTGTGTAACTTAGTGTATGTTCGTCTGTAACTGTGTAGGATTGGCACCCGAGGACGCCCACTAGCTGCTTATAGCCCAGTGCTCTGTGAGTAACAATATTGTAAAAATATGTTCAATTATGATTATTTTCTGAATGATCAACTGTTCTGCTTACTGAAACGTTATTGTTTAAGTGAATGATTGTTCGTCCTATTTAAACTGTATTCGTGGCATCCATAACAATTTACTGTTACTGTACTGTTACTGCTACTGACACAGAGATCTCTGTCGATTCCCACGTTTGGAACCCACTACTATTACTGTTATGATGGTCATCAACTGACTGTTCAATCTGTTTAGACCTACTGTACTGTTTTGTTATGGGATGCACCACATATAACTGCTATGGTTTCTAAGTGACTGATATACTGTTTAATTACTGAAAGGACATTCATTCTTAAACTCTTTACACTGCTGTTAGTCCACTGAGCTTTAGCTCACTATTTATATATATATATATATATATGTAGGTGCAGGCACCAGACCGGAGCTAGAGCGTCGGGTTAGCTCTTGTTTTGTCAAGCCAACCTTTGTGCCTCACCTCGAGGTTCTAAGTCTGTTCAAGCTACGGCTGTTTGGGGTGTTTCGGATTCACCCTTCTGTTTTTGTTTTGTAATAGATGTTATAGACTCCTACTGTACAGTTATGGCATAGGGATTGAATCCCTAACTTGTATGTATTGTATATCTGATATGTAAATGTGTTTGGTTACGAATGTGACTTGTTCATAAAAATCTTTTTGCATTCAGACTATCACAGCTCATTGGATACCTTTTATTTACTGTTAGCTTCCGCCAGCCCCTTTGTGTATTAGATTTATTGTGGTGTGCAACTCACAGTTTTTCTATAAATAATTACGATAAAGTGGAATCATTGGAATGTACAGATATTGAAGAGCATAGATGGAGTTAGGTTTCGGAATTACTTTGGGACTGTTTATTGGAAGAACTGTAACAAAGTAATTGTAGATATCTTCTTCTCTCACCAAGCGTTGGAAATTTGTAAAAGGATTATATTAGCTCGAGTTTGGTGTTGGGGTAATTTAAATAATTATTTTTTTTGATTTTTTATGAGTAATATATCAAAAAAATAAAATAAGAGATAAATGATTTATTGATTCGTAAGGTAGCTTGAAATATACGTTGGCTTAGAGCTGTTCAAACGACGTTTTTTACATTTTTTTTCCCCTCTTTTCTCCCCCTCTGTTCTTGCTATCTCGAAACTGGTAACAGAGGCGAGAGAAGGAAAGAGTTGAATCGAGCTTTCAACTTCAGCTATCTTCTGCTATCCTTTGAACTGGTAACCAGAGCCGAGTAAGTCGGTAGAACAGCACTGTCGGTCTTCAAAGGAGAGTTGGAATCGCTGCCTCTCTTCTTCGGAATGAAACGTTGTAGAGAACGACAAGGATGAAACACAAGGAACGGGATGAAATCTTAAGACCCTCACAGTCTTCTTCAAATCTTTCTCTTACTTTTTTTCCCAAACTCATCCAACAAGTCCCAAATTTCTGTCTCCTCTTCCACCACCTAAACAACACTTGCCAGAATCCCAAAACCAAACCACAAGTTTCAATCATCCACTAACCCAAATCAAATCAGACTCGAGTAAAGATTTACAGTGATAACAATTGAAGGCTCAAAAATCGGACTGTAAATTCAGTGCTAACATCTCCCTCCACTATTAGAAAGAAATTATACAGGGAATAAAAGATGTGAAAGTCACCAGACGAAGGGTAACGAAACAGGAGTAATGGGACTGATAG